ACAAGATTATCAGTAAAAACTTAGGACGCCATTTGGGCAAATTTTAAGGTTCCTTCCCCAAATTTGCGCAAGTACAATTTGTGCAAATGGCAGAACCTGGAAAAAATGAACAGGAATGCTGAGGGATCCCATTGGGATTAAATGGAATGGAGTTTCCAGGATTGCAAGTTGCAGGCAAAGTTGCTTCCATTTGAGCTAAACTTAGATCTCAGTGAATTGGTAGTCATAGATGAGGGTGACCAAAATTTCATCTTGTCAATCTCTGTTAGTCTTGAATCCCCCAAACATGTACTGCTCAGAGAAAAGGGGCATTTGCCAGGGTAGAGGTCTCCAGTCTCTGATGGGAGATAAGCTAGCAAGGAAACTGATGCTCTTTGAAAGGACTGACCTTGTGGGCCAGAAGCTTCCCATCCCTGATCTAAATTAAAACAAGGGAGATCGTTGAGAGATATGGCTTAAAATGCCATCTGCTTCTTGTTTCCATTGGATGATCCTAGGGTAGCTGCTGAGCATCAGTATTTGGAAGGCAAGGTAGATGAATGAGGACAAACAAGCTGAGATTTCCTCCAGAAAAGACAAGAGGTACTGTGTGTAGGACAATCGATAGAGCTGTGCTGGCTGGAATTCTGTCCTGCAAGACTGATCTTGCCTTGGTTATTCATGTTCTGACAATCAGGCTTGACTACTGCAGTGTGCTCTGTGTAGGTATGACTGTCCTGAAAGGGTGCTTGGAAACTTCAGCTGGTACAAAATATGGTTGCCCAGATATGGGTAGGGGCTCAGCTGGTTGTTAAGCCAGCTGTTAAGCCACAGTGGTTTCCACTGTGCCACATACTGCTTTTTATTAAAGAGGGAAGTCCAGCTCGCCTCAGTGTCATCCATGTGAGAGCAGCAGAAGGAATACCTAGGAGCAGTTCTGGGATGTTGAAGAAATGGACTCATGCAGGTCCAAATTACCAACAGACTGTGGTGAACCAGCTTTTCCCAAGTCATGTAGATTCCACAAAATGGTCTTAAGATTTACGCTAACTTTGCATGGGGTATTTACCTATTAATTGTCCAACTCTAATATCTGGAGTGGACAATTTAGGTTCAAATTCTCCTTTGGATATAAAGTCTTTTGTTCCTCCTCCTGCTCTATGTAAAGAATTATTTGGATGCAATGAAATGTTTTCCTAAGTGAAACAAACTAGGCTATATAATTAGGTGCGAATTTGTCTAACTGCCAAGACTTTAAAGGTAATCCATTAAATTGTTTGGAAAGGGGTGTTGATAAAAGAACAAAGGAACTACACCTGAAGGTAAACAAGTATTAGGAGCTTGAAGCAAGAATTCTGGTTGAAAAGACAGCTATGGGGAGACTAAGCAAAACTTAGGTTCTCAAAGGCAAAAACTAAGTTCTCCATCACTGGGCTAGGAAATATTTATTTCAAGGGCTCCCATCAGAAATTGTTGTTGTTGTTGTCGTTAGTCACGAAGTCGTGTCCGACCCATCACGACCCCATGGGCAACATTCCTCCAGGCCCCATCAGAAATATACAGCTCCAAAAGGCACTTTAGTTAATAAAGATACACTAATTACCAGGTTATCTGCAGAAAAGTATGTTTCTTACCATTTTTGACTCAGTGTTTTCTTTTAAAGCTCTCCTTTCTTTTAACCCCTTCCCCTACCACTGTTTCCCTCTCTCCCTCTCCCTCTCCCTCTCCCTCTCACACACACACACACACCTTTCACTTCACCATCTAAGGTTTTTCCAGGATCTTCTTCCTCTTTTTTCCCTGAGTCCCATAATATGTACTCTTCCATATTTCCTTCTGTATATTGCTGCATAGATCTGCCCTCTATTTTACACTATCATTGAGTCTTTCTGCACCTCCACACAATTTCTCAGCTGTCACCCCCTTTCTTTCTGCAACTACATCGACTTCATCATTCTCCTACCCCCACCTCCCTCCACTGTCACAGCTATACCCATCACCTGTCATCCAGTCCTTTCTTTAATCTCTGTCTTGTTTGTCTTCTTCCCCATCCTTCGCACTGTTCTTTGTCTAACTCTGGTCTGAACTGGCAGGTAGGGTACAAATCTTTAACTTTTCCAGCATTTCAGATGAGTTGAGACATGCAGAATGACTGTGCTAAACCAGATTGATTTGGGTTATCAGAGGTTTTGTTTTTTCTTTCTGTTGTTTTGGGAAAAAAAGTGACTTTTTCTGGTAAAAACATTTAGCTTGGACAGCAGATGCTGCTAACCATGTCTTGAAATGACTCTTTGCAGAAGAGCTGCAGCTTGGCATGCCTGGATGTCCACGTACCACAGTGGCATCCAATGAGAAAAGGCACGTCTGAAATGCACACATCTGGTTTTTCTTGGAAAGGTACCAAGAGATGACAAACTGAAGATGGTTGTTGCAGAAAGCAGTACAATACTAATCTTTTAGTAGACTGCTGGTATATAGCTTTCTGTCTTGTCACAGAACAAATACACTGTTCTCACGGAAAGCATGCAGATGTGGTTTGTTGCTGGAAATGTGAAGGGCAAACTCCAGTTGGCATTTGCCCAGTAGCGTTGATGTGATTGCATCATGCTGCAGTGCAGGTGAACCTACAGCAAGGCCATTCTTGGCAAGAAGTTTTGTTTTGTTTCATTCTGTTCTGTTTCCTTTACATGACAAAAGCAGACAGCAACAAATTATCTTTCTTCTTTTTCATAAGCTGTTTGGTTGTATGAGAAGCTAGGTTCGCTATGAAGTTGCTCATTTTACTGTGGGCTCTGATATTGGTCATAGAACACAAATAGTCAGATTTCAGGCTTGCGGGATCTTCTTTGAAAAAAGAAAATAGAACCCCAGTGTCCACCACCTGGAGCCTGGTGTAAAACACACAGAATTGAGGACAGAACTGAACAGAGCTCACCGGTCTTCCACACAAAAACAAGCCCCACACATTCTTCATTGCAATAATATGATTTAATAATTTACTCTAAATGTAAGAAATTTTGTTGCTGCTATTATTGTTAAACAACTGGGATCAGGAAAATCCTTGCCAATCCATTGCAAATCATTCAGAGATATGAGATTAACATTTCCCCCATCTTGGCACAGAAGATGAGCAGTGGTTCTGTGCATCTGTCAGAAGCTGGCAAATATGAATAGCCAGCTTGCCAGACATATGAGACCCATACAGACAAACTTGGACCCTCACATATGTAAACCTGCCACTGAGCTGTTCTGCTCCTCTAAAGTCTAGTTCCTTCTCCTTCACATTCTTACAGGAAGCATATACTGACACTATGGTGCTTTAAAACTCCAGATCAGGGGTTCTCTCATCTCTGTAAAAACTTCCAGTTGATCACTTTCAAAATGCATTGCCAGGAAACAGGTTTTACTCTTATTAATCGTAGAGTAAATTCAAACCAACCCAGGAAACAGTTTCTGTGATCAAATTAAAGGCAAAAATAAATAGTTCTTTGTGCATTTCCATTCTGCACAAGGGAATAGAGTATAGATACGTTAGTGTGTATACACATTCATGTACACTTTATTTTTTAATTTAAAGCGATATGCATAGTTCGTAATGTGCATTCAGATGTCTAAGCTAAGCTACCCTGTGTGATCATGATGCACACACACAGACGTGACCTGCTCCATACAAGTATCAGATGGCTTGGTCATTTAGTGATGCCATTGGCACATGCTGCTCATGAGAGTAAGCAAAGGCACCATCTCCATATGAGCAAAGGGTGCACACGTGTATGTCTACTTTCTAGGCATCACTCTTGCTACATGATAGCATGTCATAGTAGATGCCTCTTAAAGAGTTATGCCAGTATTTAGCTGTCAGTCACACGTGAATTAATAAGCTGCATGAATGCCAAGGTCAGAGACACTTATGAAATGAGGACAATGACTATGATTGGATAATGCAACACATAGAATTTGCACTTCAGGTTTGATGTGGGCTTCTGTTGAATTCAATGAATAAATTTTAAGTTGTTCTATATGTGCTTTGTTCAAAAGGTCTGCAGTTCTGTATGCTCCGCCATGATTCCAGAGTATGATTGGGAGATGAGTAACAGCAGCAATACCCACATAATGCTAGCCATGGTTCATCTCTAAAACTGAAAGGAGCAATGAGTGCAAGTCTGCAGGATGCTGCTAATCACCACACTTTAGTTTGGTGATGTCTCTGTTGGTCACCCTGTATATGAATGTTCCACTGGAGTGAACAGAATGTGGCATCTATTTAAATTAGTCATGAATTAGTTTTTCTGCTTCATATTCCACTTTTTTCTTGAAGGAACCTAATAGCGAACACACAGAACTTAAGCATACAAAGTGGGGAGGAGACCGCAGTCGTTGGCTGCTAGTTATGGCTAGATTATGCTACCTCTGGGTTCAGAATCAGCATGCCTCTGAATACCAGCTGCTTCAAAACAACAAGAGGAAAGAATTGTAGCATTCTTGGTCTTCCCAGAGGAATCTGGTTGACCCCTGTGGGGAGCAGGAGGTGGGCTATGCTGGCCTTTGGTCTGATGCAGTTATTTCCTTCTTATGTCCTTATGGGTCAAAACAGGCAAGTAGAAAGCACTGTGTTCATGTGTGTATATTCTCTCTCTCCTTGCTCCCCCACTCTGCCCTGCCCACTGCTGATGTCTTCTGCTCTGGAAGGGGACTGAGTGGTTGTACTAAATCCCAGTGGGCCAAGGAGAATGGCTTTGCTATTTACACCCCCTATGTCAGGTACAGCATTGCTACCCATTGATGGAGTCTGAGAGGGCAAGAGCTTGATGACAATAGTTTCTAAGAGGCCAGTGGCAATGGTTTCATTGTCCTAGAGTTGACTCATCCTACCAGATACATCATCTGTTTTTATCTTGCATGTATGTGTGTGTGCACGCAGATCCATGTGTTTGCCATGTTGGAAAGGAAAGGGAAGTCACTATGCCATTTAAATTACATTTCGTGGGGAAATTAATGTTTACCATATGCATTTATTTTAGGATTCCACTTGTTTCCTGTGTGTCTGATCTACAATGAGTGCCAAATCTGCTATCAGCAAAGAGATTTTTGCTCCGCATGATGAGCGAATGCTGGGAGCAGTCCAAGTAAAAAGGAGAACGAAGAAAAAGATTCCTTTCCTGGCAACTGGGGGTCAGGGTGAATATCTAACCTACATCTGCTTGTCAGGTAAGATAAATGATTTTGACATCTAGCTGTCCTTTCAGTTTATCTTTGAAGTTTGATGAACTGATTGGATGTTGTCCATTGCTAAAAATAATGCAGTGCCATGAATTTTAATCAAACAAGTAGATGAGCAATGATAGGTAGGAATATGTGAAGTAAATATATGGATGGATGTGGCATTCAGTGCTGTCAGTGACGCACTTCCTACGAATTGAACAGAAATTTCTTGAGGATTTGACAATGTTATCCAAGATCAGTAAGACTTGTGCTTTTCTGACGTTTCATTAAAAGAATTATTTCCCATGGGTTTAAGAATTTCCTTCAAATATTTGAAGGCAATATGTTGTTCTTTCCTTTCTTTGAAAAATAATCAGAGAGGAATTAAATTGCCTTGCTAGATCAGAAGAAAATTTCATGTAATTCAACATTCTTCCTCCAGCAGTGGTGAGTCAGTTTTACCTCTGGGAAGCTCATAAGCTGGGAGACCATCCCTGTACTTTGCTTTTGTTTTCTTTCTAGTGAAAAAATTGAAAAAAGGCTTGAAAACAGTACACAAATGAAAACTGGTACAGAATGCAGCAACCAGAAAGCTTGTAGGAGTTTGTATGATGTTTCGCCCACTCTGCACTGGTTTATATTGGTTGCTTCTTCATTGCCATGGCCCATCTATGGTGCTAGTATTAGTATTTTAAAGCCCTAAACCTGGGGTGGAGATTCTTTATTAGCCTACAAGAAGAATTCCATTTAAAAGACATTCTTGCTGGGTAGGGATGGCAGTAGGGGAGGCAAAACACAGTCAGGGCTGACAACTCTGATCTCACCTTAAATCATCAATTTGTAGTAGGAGGCATGCCTACAGAGGAAGAAGTATGCATAGCATATTTACTCACAAATACACAGGACTAACACCTGCATATATCTCTAGAACAGGGGTCTCACACTCAACTTACCTGGGGGCCGCTGGAAGTAGAGTCTGGTGAGGCTGGGCCGCATCAAGTATTCCACCACCGCGGTGGTGGTGGGCCGCTCATCCAGAGGCCGGCCCGGGCGCCGCCGGTGCTTTGAAGGCCACAGGGCCCCTCCCTCGTGCCCCCCCATCCCGGCAGTTGGCCCGCAGGCCGCGAGTTTGAGACCCCTGCTCTAGAAGTAAGCAGGAAAATATAACTCAGCAGCAGCACTTTCAACCAACCTCACAACATGCAAGCTCCTGCATGTCTGTTCAGAACTAAGTCTGAGTATTATGCCTGTTTTTAGTTAACTGAGGTTTTATCTGCTGCTATCTTATTTCTTATTCAACAGATGAACCAGTGACAACTGGCTTCAAAAGTTGACATGGGAGGAGGGGGCACAAGTTGAGTACCCCTGTGCTAAACTCTCACAACATAACCTTCTCATTTAACTGTCTTTGGGAATCCTTAAGCCAGACCTGGGTACTCCCTGAGGAGAATCACTCACAAAGATTAGCTCTGTCCTCCTCCTTGTGATAGAAAATTTAATTATTTAGTTAAAAAAAATAAACCACCTTTCTACACCAGTGGGGTCTCCAAGGCAATATATAAAATATTTTATATAAACGTACTCAACAACAAACCAAACTAGCTTTAAACTATCCCAAACAGTAGAATCAACCCCAAGTTAAGAGCCCTGAAAAGTGAATATTGTTTTAAGTACCTGCCTTAGGCTGAACGAAACGAGCCAATCTACATTCTCTTGGGAAGGATTTCTACAGTCATGGTGCTGTCACATAAAAGGCCTTGTTCCATGTTCTCACTGACCTAGCCTTTCCTGGTGGTGATACATCAAACCATAACTATGTAGAAAACTCTTAACTATGGACAGGTTCATATGGAAGTAAGCAGTCTTTCAGATATCCTGGCTCTAAGCCATTGAGTTCTTTGAAGAAATTTAAGCTGGAACTAGAAATAAATTGGAAGCCACTGTAATTTATGTAGCAGCAATATTCTAAGTTCTCTAAACATGCCTGTACACACACACGGAAAACAACCTGGCTGTAGGATTTTGCACCTGCTGCAGTTTCTGAACACTTCAAAGGCAACCCTAAGTTTAACACGCAATACAATACTCTAAAAAAGAGCTTTAAGCTTTGGTGCACCATGGTTAAATCCATATTCTCCAGGAGGGGGCACAGCGTCTGCACAGATGCAGAAAGCACTCAAACAGTGTTGGCCCAGAAGTATCCCTAAGTGGTAACCCTGATCCTCCAGAGAGAGTCCAACCCTGTTCAAAACTGGCTGCACTCCTGCTCCTGGATTAGCTTGTCTGCTGATCCTCAAGACCTCCATTTTGTGTGAATTTAGCTTCAGGTTGTTAGTTTGTACCCAATCCATCGCTGTCCAATTCATCACTGTGTCCCAGCAACAGTTCAAAACTTCTACAGCCTCCTTGGCAAATGTTGAGGAAGAGAGACAAAACTGGATATCATTAGACTGAAAAGCATCCAAATAATGAGATGCATTCATGAAAGCCTGGATTGAGTTGCCAGCTCCCATCGAATGGTTGGACACTGATTAGATTACTAAGGCCCAGTTTTTAAAAAGGAGGTATGGAAACTAAAGCACTATTAATGTCTGATAACAGCTACATGTAGTTAAACAATCTACAAGGTAACTTTAATTTCTGCCTAATACTAAATTCAAAACTAAATGTTCAGTTTACCTTACTGTTAGTTACTTGCTTTGTTACTTGCAAAGTTGAGCTCAGAACTATGTTGCAGCCTATCTTAGTCATTCAACTCTTGTGTATGTTAAAATTGGCTCTCAGCCAGAATAGCTTTTTTTGAAAAGGAGATAGGGAAGCAATACTGTTTTCAAAGTGCCAAAACCAGTTTAAGTTTGAGATGCTGCTACATATTACTGAGCTATGAAGAAGCCCTTGAAGTTTCAACTGGTGACTGTCAGCTTAAGAATTCTTTTTAAACTGGGGAGCCAATTTCTTCCCTCCCTCCCTGCTTATTGTGCAAACCATATTGCAGAAGACGAGTAAGATTGTAATAAGGACACTGGAGAGGATGTTCCTGATGTTTTCTAGGACAGCAATATTGAGAGTTCAAAGCTGAGCTGACATTTAGATGGTAACGAATGTCATTGCGTGTATTTGCAGTCTGCATGCACAAGTAACAGGAATTATTGGCGAATAGGCTCATCAGCCTGCTGCATCAGGCTAGGGATTAACTTGCTTGTTGGTCCACTGGTATAAACCCTATTGCTCTTATCTAATCAATTTTCTATTTCACCTTTCAAAGGCTTAGGCCTGCTGGAAACCTTCCTTGTATTTTGCAGTTTTCTGATCTACAAAGTTCAACTTTAAAGAAAAACAAAACTCTTGTTCATTACTCACTTTGCCTTCAAAGTCTAAGTGGCTATATCTAAAGCTATTGGGTATGAAAGATTTTACCCCTGACAATTCTGGCTCTAATGCTTTCGCAGCCTGAGTGCATCTGCTTAAACAGGAAGTTTCTAATCCACTCCTGAGAGCAGGAGCAGAAGGGGGCTCCTGTGTGTGTGTGCACTTTTTGCTGAATAAAGCCATGTCAAACATGGGGAAAGTAAGCATATTCCATAAAGAGGTCCTTGGCTGTAGGATTTTTATGTGTGACCAGCAGTGACTGTTCTTGGTGTGGCAGAATGTGGACTTGTGATTGAATCTGTTTAGGGAGGGGAGAACCAGCAGGTCTGGAGTTAGCCTAAATTCTCTGAGAATCAGTTTCAAGTCATGTTTTGCCTTCTCCTACTTTGTTTTTGACCTGTTTTTCTTCTTGCTTGAAGGAAAAATGTGTGTTACAAATTGGAAAAGTATGCATTTCTAGGACTATTTTTCGAAAGGGTATAATTTTCTGCAAATGGCTGAGGTGTAAAACTGCATTTTTTAAAAAAAATGTGTATTTCAAATTATATTTGTTTAAAAATCCACGTTTTTAAAAATGTTTAGGAATTTGTTAACATTTCTTGAAAAAGCATGTTTGGGATGATCAACAGGACATGTTCTCATGATTTGTGAACAGAAACAGAATTCTCATACATCCTTAACTCGCTCGTCCATTCTTTCTTATGATACTTTGTTTCATATAAATAAGAAAATGAGGATCAAATACCTATAAATTTAAGAAATAGAAAAATTCCCTTGTGACAGAGTACTGGAGAGCTCTCTTAATTTCTGTCCTCCAGCATCATAGTTCCAATGCATCCGTCGTCTTCTTTACAGCTTTTTTCACTGTCCAGCATTCACACCTATAGATTGTAACTAGGAATACAATAGTTTGGATGACCTTAACCTTGGTTTCCAGTAAAACATCCTTACAGTTGATTGACTTTTCTAGCTCCTTCATTGCTGCCCTTCCATGTCTCAGTCTTTTTTGAAGACTTCTTGGCAGCAGTCTCATGTTGAATTGATGACTGAGTCAAGGTATGTGAGATTTTTCACAATTTTGATTTCTTCAGTATTAACAGTAAAATTCTATAGTTCTTTTGTGAACATGGTTCTTAATATTCTGCTGCAGTCCTGCTTCTGTACTTTCTTCTTTCACTTTTATCAGGATTTGTTTCAGTCATTGCTGATTTCTGCCTGTAGGATGGTATCCTCTGCATATCTTAAATTAGTGCTATTTCTTCTGCCAAGCTCATTCCTTCCTCTAATCCAGCTTTCTTTATGATAAGGTCTGTGTACAAATTGAACAGATAGGGAGATAAAGTGCATCCTTGTGTGATACCTTTGCCTATGGGAAACCATCCTGTTTCTCCATATTCTGTCCTAACTGTAGCTTCTTGCCCTTGATACTGGTTATGCATCAGGGCAATCAAATGCTGAAGTACCCCCTGCTTCTTGCAGGACCACCCATAGCAGGATCCATGCAGTCAAAGCCTTTGGTGTAGTCTGTAAATCATAAATCCTTTTTCTGAAATAGGCAGTGTATAGTTGCTTCTAGTGCTTCTTCCTTTTAGGAATCCAGCCTGGACACCTGGCATTTATCATTCCATACAGGGTAG